TCTGAAAAGAACACTGGATCTAAAAATCTGTTCACAGACGAGTCTTTGGTAAGTTGCTGATTTCCACATTAGATATGTATTCAAAAATACATTTATTTTTATGCATTTATTTGTGTTGTATATTTGTGACATTTGTTTTTGTGCTGTGTTATTTTATGATTTGGGTTTCTCAGGATGTAATTTACATCAGCGTCAATGTGTATTATTGTACCCTTTTTAAATTTGGTTTAAAACTTCTTCTGATTAGACCCCTGCTCAGGTTTAAGATGACCAAAGATTTAGTAGGACGTCAACGCCCACTCAGTCCTGACAGAAGTCTGATTAAGCACAGGAAGGGAAAACTCACTGTGCTTGATTAGACGGGTGGACATTTGGTGGGTAGCAGCTTTAAGGAGTCAGTCATTTTATTTGGCATATTTAAGGCGCTTATTATAATTTATTTGGAACACTATTGAAAGTGGGGCTGCACGGTGGTGTAGTGGCTAGCACTGTCACCTCACAGCAAGAGGGGCCCGGGTTCGATCCCCGGTGGTCTTCTGTGTGGAGTTTGCACGTTCTCCCCGTGGCAGCGTGGGTTCTCTGGCTTCCTCCCACAGTCCAAAGACATGCAGCTTAGGCTATTTGGAGACTCGAAATTGCCCGTCGGTGTGAATGTTGCGATAACCTGGCGACCTGTCCAGGGTGTACCCTGCCTTCGCCCAATAAGCGGTTTGGAAAATGGAATGGAATATTGAAAGTGTGTAAAATGATGGTGAATATATCCGTGACATAAGACGACAAACCAAAACATGAATGATGAAGATAAGCTGCGCTCTGGATTCCAGAGTTTAACATACAAACCGAAGGTTGATGATGAAAGCTGATAAAAAGAAGGCAACCTGTTGCTCCACAAGATAACAGACTCAAAGGTCTGTTCAGGTTATTCAGTAATATATCATACACATAGATGACAAATTGTCTCTCGACAGACTTTCAGGATGAATATCTGTGTGGACCCACTGAGTAGCACCACATCACCGTTGGATGTAGTTGCAGGTACAACAAACAAGATCTGACCACATCCAACTGTGATGTCAGGTGAGGTAAATTAAAATAGCTCAAATGTAGTGTATATTAAAAGGTTCTATGTGTAACTTATCACATGTATTCATTGTTTTTTGTTTATTGACAAAGGGCTAATGGAGGGTAACGTACTAAAAAACTTAAACCTTCCCCGACTTTCTTGCTTGCCTACGACAGCCTGTGGAGTGATTTTAAATTAAGTGTTGCTTCATAACGTTAGCAAATAAAGTATTTTGCAAACAGCAAGCCAGCCAATTTAACAGCCAGGCCGGCCCCGGGAGTGTGGATGAATTAACTGACGTTATCTACTCAAGACTGTATTTTTGCTACATTAGCTAGCTAGCAATTTGTCCGCGTTAGCAAACAAGCAAATGTTAGCTAACATTAGCCAGCTAAAACCACAATACCACGATATATTTCATATGAGTGGACTCTGTTGTGGTGGGTATAAATAAAATATAGGAACATTATTCAAAGTAACATCATCATTAATATTACTGTAATTAAGTTTCTTGCATTTTATTAAAATGCAGGTCATTCAATTTGGTTTTCGCCGATGCTCGTGCATACTGTTGTTCACTTAACGGTCACAGGTGTCATTAATAACAATCTATTGATGTTTTGAAAGTCACACACAGAACCTTAAACGGTGGAATGGTGGTGCTAAAGCAGAGTAAGATGGTGCAGCACCACAGAAAGACTATTTAAAATGTATGTTAATCAATACAATAATAATCAGATTTACTAATCGAATGTTACACAGCTGGTCTACAGTAATGTAACAACTGCCTCACTGATGGTTTAAAAACAATTCACTATGTTCTGAACAGGCAAGCTAAAAACTAACAATAAAAAATTGCATTTTGGAGCATAAAACAGCAAAAAATATCACAATATTAAGTCCAGCACGGAACGATGGGAAATGTGGGCCATTGCTACCACATGCTGGCTAGAGCGTCGCTCTGCATCCAGCAACATCCAGAGAGCTCACTTTCCACTCAGCTGGTCGGAACTCGAAGCGCATAGAAATAGGTTAAATCCTTTAACTGTAGACGCCATTCTTTTTCTACACAGTGTAGCCAAACACTAGGTTAAAAAAAGTATAATTCTATAAACATAAGGCTACTATCTTGTTAAAATTCATAAAACCCTGACCCGCGCATCACTACAGCCCTCTCTGTTCCGACGGTTACAGAATGTGGATGAACATATTATTCAGTGCCTGTTTATTGGGCATCTACCCTGCAGTAACGCACGTTTTGTTGAAAAATAGCTGGGCAGACAGCTGGTATCACAGAGTAAAATGAGAGCGTATCTGTAGACGAATAAAAAAACACTTCTGGCAGCTTCCGGTCTAGACACGCACGGGCCAGACATGATGGAATGTCATATCTTTTTAACGTGTTGCAATATAGGGGGAATATTTGCGGAAACTGTCTATCCCTAGAGAAACCAAACATATTGGGGACTCCCCTTGTGCAAAAGGGCACAGATAGCCCCATTAGGTGAAGTGGTTTATGCCACTGGATAAAGTTGTTCTGGAGATGTCAGTGAAGCTTTCAAATGTAACCTATACTTTCTTGTTGTGACTGAAATGAGCCCTATTTTATATGATTTGATTTTGCTCATCTAAAGCATCAATATAAATATCGTCTTTCTGCAAACCAAGAACATTGCTTTTGTATTTACACATTTGTATAAGTGTGGAGAAGTCCACTGGGGGACGGGGTTTTAGGAAAGCTTGACAAAAGCTTCAGTACAGATACAGACACTTAACGTGAAGCTTCAGGACTATTTGTTATCAGTCTGTCTGTAACTTTTTATACAATTTAAAACAAGCCATTATATTATCACAAATAATTTATACTTTTCTTGACTTTTGTTAACGGACCACCAGACCTCTGCCTTGTGTGTTGCGTCCACTGCTCACTGCTGTGTTACAGCAGCTTTACTTTTTAATATACCCCCCCCATTTTGTCACTATTTCAAATTTTGTGCAAAACCCAATTCCATCCGTAAATTTAATAAATGAAGGACCATCCACAAAGAGGTTTTGCACAGTTAAATCAATGATGATGACGATGTAGCAATTGCAGTATCATTATATCATATATCAAAGAATAACTAACACGTCTCTAAAACATCAGACTTTGTTGTGTTCATTGACCATACCTACACTTTGTTCTACAACAAATTCTATCTCAAACTTCACAGTGGACTTTTACAAACATTTTGTTTACACAAACTACAGTCATGTAAAGGCCAACTTGTGAAATCTGTTTTTTTTGTTTGTAAATAATAAGGCATATCATAAACAGTCAGTGCAGAGCTTGAGTATGTGATCTCTCACCAGTGGATATCATGCTAGTGCTTTACCGTGCTAACAGATGGTGCTTCACGGCACTGCTTGAACCTTAATGGGATGAATCTCTTGATTTTTATATTTATTCTGCTTCTTTGTCTCCACCAACTCCTGAATGAAAACTCTGTCTCTTTGAATGCTAAATTCTCCACCATGTTCACTAGCTAGTCGTCAACTGTGTGTGATGTTTGCTGCTGAGCAGGTAGTACACAGTGGGTTATGAGAACAGTGAGAGTGAACAGAAACAGTAAAGCTGCAGATTTGGTTGATCACTACAAGGGACTCCACATCTTTTTGCATCGACATGTGATACATTATTATAGAATTGATAATAGCTGCTTCAAGGTAAAGCAGATTTGTTTTTAGACCTTTGATTATTAGGTAACTGTGCTATTGAGGCCAGTTGCATATTGTTTCTGCAGATCCTTTTATCTTCCTAATGAAACCACTTAAATGGTCACAAATTAATTAACTTTTCCCACGCTGTCCACTTTGGTCCCAAGCTTTGTGTACTCCATGTGGAGACAATCCCCCTGAAGGTGGTACCGTAGGAAACATTTAAATTGTGAAACTTTCAAAATGTGTTTCTTCAACTTTAAAGATTTCATCAAAATGTCGACACAAGAAGCGAATCTTTCACTGAAGCCTGGTGGATATTAGAAAGTCCATCACTCTGATTTTATCAACACCATTTTTTAAACTTTTTTTAAAGTTTGTTAAAATTTCACCGGAGTAGTTGTACAACATCTTTAGAGCTGGATAAATAATCACATTATCTGCTTTAAAAATGTTTTAAAATCTGAGCTCCAAAACAATCTTATTATAAATGCGTCTGTAAACATTTTCCTTTATGTCGAAGGCAATATTTACCTCATCTTATTAAAATTAATTTGGCATATGATTAAATATAATTCATGTTTTCTTTAAAATCACAGAATTTAGAATTTTTTTTTTTTCATAATCAAAATTAATTAGAAATGTATTACCCATGAGTATGTTTCGCACATGATTTAATAAACACATTATTATTTTTTCAACTGGATTTTTGGATTTAAATTAAATTCATGTCTTTTAATAAAATAAAAAGTTTTGTCTTTCCTTGAATGGAAATCTAAACTCGGCAGAATGGTCCAGAGTCATCCACAATGATGGAGGATAAAGTTTTGGAACACTTTGCTTGATGGTGGTACTTTAACAAGAATATGAATTTTTAAACGTCCAACTTTTTTGTAAAACCTTTTGAAGTGAAGATGAAAATTGAACTTCTTAACAACGAAATCTACTAAACTAAAACTAACCAGGAGGCCTTGAAACTGCTCCTTTTGTTAATAGACTATTGCACCCATCGTTTCATTTCAGGACAGATTCCCTACAGTGTTTTAACTGTCTCTATCTCTCTCCCTTATATATTTTTTTATAATTTCTCTGTTCTGCTCTGGTCTTCCTCGTGAATCTGAAATTTCCTACATAATAAATCTAATTACTAGATAGGCCTTATGTGGAAGATGGGAATACAAATAAGTGGAAATGATTGTGGAAACTATGTGGCTATAAATTGAAGCTTTTCATGTCCTACCAGATCACCCTCTTCTTCCTCCTCTCTCTTCAGCTCCTTGGGCTCGTCATCAGGATTGAAGTCTTCCATTTCAACCTAATAACACAAGCACACGTTAGTTCAGCTCAGTTACTGGAAAAAAGGACTATAATATTATAAGAAGCGTCAAGTCTTGAAGACCTCACCTCCTCTATAGCAGCGTCTTGAAGCAGGGACCGGACATCCAAGCGCACCATATGACGTGGCGAAGTCTCCCAGTTGTTGGACATCTGTGGACAGAATGCTCTATTAAGAAGTGTATTGTACATGTATGAGCTTTAGTGGACAGTCCTCTTATTACAAATGTATCTGAGACAGAAGGTACATATTACAGACCTTCAATATATCCTTAAGAGTGCGCCCATGGACATTTCTCTTCGTACATGTCTGAGTGTCTGCAGTGATTTCAGCAAGATACACCTTGAAATAAGAAAAACAAACCTCTTTAGCACAGGGCCGATAGGAACAAAAACTTCTTTTTTTTTTTTCTGAGACATTCATAAACACAACTCACCTCAAAGCCTTTTGTTTTGGCTGCACTCCAGAACTGATCAAAATGTTTAACCCTGTCATTAATAGTGTCTAAAATGATGAAGGGGAAAAAGCCGTCATCCAGAGTTTTCTTAAATGTTTTAAGCATGCTGTTCCGGTAGGTATCTTCCATCTCTGGCTCATACTCGTACTCAAGAACCTGCGACACAGATTTTTGTATTGTATTACATCATTTATAATGTTCACAATAATAATTGTAATACATCTGCCAGTTACTGCTAAATTTGATTTCCAACAGCACTACTTTAGCACTCACCTTGTTTTTGACCCGTCTCCCTGTGTCTGGATCTTTTTCTACTTTTTCAACCTCCGTCATAAAATAATCATCCAAAACAAGAACTCTCGGAGGTGCACCGCCACAATCGACTTCCTTATCCTTAATAACATCAACAAAATTAAAAAGCAAAGTTTTTATGTTTCAATTTGATTTGTTCCAAAAGCTGATATTTGTCAAGTCAAAAAAGGACATCTAAACAGGCTCTATGAGTATACATTATAATTACACGATGATTTGCTGGTAGGACACCACTCACCCGTATGAGCTTTGCAACATGACTTTTTCCACTTCCTGGAAGCCCTCTCATTATGATGACAATCTGTTAAAATGCATCACATTTATGAGCACTAAATATTATACAACTAAAAAAAGTGATATTGTTACATCAATAAACATTGCAGCAGTAATAAGCACCCTTTCAGGACGAGATGATCTGCCAGGTGGTTTGAGGATATCGTCAATATTCTTGATTTCTGGCTTCCTCTCGACTCGTGGGGGTGGCTGAGGTGGAGGTGGGAGGGGTGGTGCAGTGGGAGGCCCTCGGTCTTCTGGATAACTTCTTCTTTCTACTGTATGATATTCATTGCAATTCAAACATTTCTCTAAATGGCATTATTTCTTTCCCGTTGTAGATTTACTTAAAGTAATTGGGAAATTAACTTGTGATTTAAGTGAGAAGTGAAATTCTACCAAACAAAGCTGAAGTACGCGAGTACACGTTTGTAAACAGATGCGGGATTGAACATACCGTAAGGTGAGGAGCTATGGCCGTAACGCTCAGGCCCACTGCGATCAAGTCCGGTGCGCTCGTATGGAGGTCTATCATAGCCAGGCCTCCCATAATGTTCATCTCGATCACGACTGTCACTTCTCTCCCTCTCTCGAAGATCCCGCTCTCTGTCCCTGTACGCCGAGCGTGGAGGAGGTGCCAGTGGAGATCTACACAGAGGAGGAGCGTTGTCAAGATTTGCTTTGTCGTCAGAATTCTTTGATTCAAACTGGCACACACTGACTACTAATCACAATGTATTGACACAATGTGATATTGTACCTTTCATCAACCATGGACTGTGTGCTTGAACCAAAAACAGACAAATAGAAAACAATATTACATATGTACGGAAGCAGCGTGCTTCCCTATAGTTAGGAAAAAATGGGGTCAGAGCTACTGAGGAAACATCATACCTGTCATCTCTATCTCGTGGGAGATATCGCTCCCTCTCATATCTGTCTCTTTCATATTCAGGTGGCAGCTTTTCTCTGTATGATTCCCTCTCTCGGCTGTACTCCCGGCGGTCCATATACGGGTCTGATCGTCTTTCGAAATATGGGTCTCTGCTGTAAGGTTCTCTGGGACCAAGAGGTTCTAGGACAATGAAATAGTTCACAAATGAACAATAGTTAGAAAATTGTGAAAAAGCAAGTTCTGTTTGAGTAGAGAAAGCTAAGCTTTACAATTCTGAGACTCACCTTTTTCATAGCCCCTGTCTGATGGTATTGGGTCAGGCCTCAACACAATTCTCTCACCATAAGACATCCGCTCAACAGTGGCTCCGGGCTCTGAAACATTGATTTTTAATGTCACCAACAAGGTCCTGCAACGTACCATGTTTTATCTGTTTAAAATGATCAAATATGTTTATCTTACTGCACATACCATGCCCATGCCCGTAATCCACAGTTTTTGGAATCATTGAAGGTTTGGGAAGAGATTGCTGGTAATCTGTGGCAGCAGGCTTTGTATCCCAAGACACAGGGTTGGTCAAAGCCGTCTGTGCGGCTGCAGTCATGCCCTAAGGATGAAGATTTGTGAAAATGTATGAAAAAATGAAATTTGTAAAAGTCTCCCTAGTGTCCTCTAACATAACCAGCAATATTGTTGTGCAATGCACTCTCATTAATTGGGCTTAAATAGTGTTCATAAATATTACCTTCAGAACGTTCCTGACGTCTGGTGGGATCTCCAAACCAAGAAGACCAGCTGGGAGCTCAGACAGGATGTCAGTTGGTACAGGCGGAGGTTCGGTACCCGGTGTCTTCCCCTCCTGCAACTCTCTGTAGACCCAAAATAACAGAAGTGGAGTTCACATAAAAGTTCCCCAAAATCCATTTGACCATAAAGTAAAGTAGGTAATATGCTAGCAAAATGGCAAAGCTGCAACTAAAATAAAACAGCCTTCTGCTTCAATCACGGTGTGCAAAGGCAGGCCGGCCAAGCATAATAACAATTTTTGAATGATTTGAGCACCACAAATAATATTCCATTCACCTCCACCGTTTTTGTGTGGTGGCAGAAATCTCAGCGGTGGATACATAGAAATGTAATAGGAGTAAAGCGGAAAATTAACTGGTTTCCGTTAAAATATCAATTGTTGTTCATTGTTATGTTGACAATACACATCCCGGCAACGCATGGTGTTGTTGCAGCTAACCAGGAAGACTGTGGACGCGGCCCCGGGGAGACCACTGGCCATCAGTCAGCTAATTTTCTGTCACCAGTGTAGCATTAAAGCATGGCGGAATTAGCAAGCTAGCCAGCTATTTAGCTATAAAGCGTTTTAATTCCACCATGCTATAATGCTACACTGGTTACAGATAATGAGTTGAACAAAGTTGTCACTCATCTGTGCTCTTCTACGCTGTGACAAGAGTATGTAGATGAAGCAGCAAGTTGTTCAATTTGACTCATTTACTCTGGCTCTCTACACTTCATACGGTTACTGGTCCACAGTTGTTTCTGTAAAACCTTGACTCAATGAGTCCACCACTTGCCATAAATTGATTTCGTTTATATGGAATTAAGCCTGCTACAACAGACGCAATGGCAACGGTATACATAAAAATGGACGCAGCTCTTACCATCCTGCTACGTTAATTTAAATAGGAATGTCAGTTCTACTTCTCTATTTCTATGGGTGGATATTTCCACACCTGAGCAATTACTTACAACACTGCATGGCTAGATTCCACTATGGATAAGTCAGAATGTGTGAACCTAAAATAATGATGCATTAATCAAGGGTTAATTACCTTATAAGTTTAAGCTCCTGAGCAGCTTTCAAGATGATCTCATGCTGACGTTGGGAGAGCGCAAGTACATTCGCCCCACCTGCTCCTTGGGATGCCGGATCAACTGAGCTCTCTGGCAAGTTTGTGACAGCTGAAGCAGGAGATAAAGGTGGACGTATATCCAAAGGAGGCTCTTCATAGCGACCTCTGCGAACCTCATAGTCAGCGGGATACCCTCTCTCTGGTGGTGGAGGAAGTCTTGAAGGCCTATCCCACTCTGAAGGTGCTGTGGGTGGTGGGTACGATGGTTCTTCCTGCCGGTACGGTGGCTCAGCCCCATATTCCCGAATTCTAAGTTCTCCTCTTCCCCGATCATGTTCACCATGAGGATATGGCTTACCTCTTTCCTCTGGCCAATGGCCATCTCTGTAAGGCTGTGATGGTGGCATGCGAGGGGGATAGTCCCTCTCAGGAGGAGCACGGTCTCCGTCCCATTCAGACTCATAGTATTTGGCGTCATGCCCACTGTCATCAGGACGATAGTCCTGTGGTGGCCGCCAGTGATGACCATGTTCCCCATGACCATAATCCTCAACAAAACCCTCATTATGTCTCTCTTCATATTCCTCATGTGTTGGACCTGGCCGCCACATGCCTCTTGCCATCCCTCGACCCATAGGTCTCCTCCTCATTCCTCCCGAATCAATCATCTCATGTGGAGGCATAGGAGGGCCTCTGCCATGTGGCGGTTGCCACCCTAACTCATTCCCTTCATTGTACGATGGCTCCTCCATAGGATCCATCGTTTCGTGAGGTAGTGGTGGCCCACGCCTGCCTCTTCCTACATCAGAATGCATCGTATGGCTATGAGGATCAAGCCCATGGTGCATTGGATCCATTTCGTTATCATCAATGTCCATTCCATGGCCTAATTGTTCATGATCCATTGGCCCATGTGCTGGATGAGGGGGGTGTCCTCGTCCTTGGTGCATAAAACCAGGATGACCGCGTGGGGGACGACCCCGGCCAGGGGGAAACGGGGGTCTCATGCCTCTCATTGGAGGTCTCATTTCTCCCCAGTAAGGATCCCCTTCCTCTGAGTACTCTGCTGACTCAGGTTCTTCCCAGTGCCTGTCCATTGGCCCCCCTCTTCCCATAGGCGGCCCCCCTCTTCCCATAGGCGGCCGCCCTCTTCCCATAGGCGGTCCCCCTCTACCCATAGGCGGTCCCCCTCTACCCATAGGCGGTCCCCCTCTACCCATTGGCGGTCCCCCTCTACCCATAGGCGGTCCCCCTCTACCCATAGGCGGTCCCCCTCTACCCATGGGGGGTCCCCCTCTACCCATGGGGGGTCCTCCTCTACCCATGGGGGGTCCTCCTAATGGCTCTTCATAATACTCTTCCTCTGTTGAGAAGTGATGTCCGCCTGGCATCCACATTTCTTCAGGGGGTTCCTCTAATTCCTCACCGTCACACTGCTCGTATGAAGAATCTTGCCACCGATATTCTTCCTGCTCTTCAGGTACCTCCACATTCTCTTCAGGTGGCATGTAGTTATAAGACATTTCTCCCATACCCTCCCCAAGTGGTACAGTGTTCGGTCCCCTGAACTCTCCAGGGCCCCTCTGCCCACGTCCTCGTCCATGCACTTGAACAGATACTGGGGGCTGACCACGTCCCCTCCCTGGGGGAAGCCTTGGAGGATCTGGTCTTGACTGCATATGGCCAGATGCTTGCGGCTCCTTTTGGATTCCAGGGGGCTTAGGAACCAGTGGGGGTTTGTTGTTTGTCATTGGTCCATCTGGTTTGAGAGGATTTTGTGCACTACTAGAAGGAGTAGTTACAGAAGGGATGCTGTTTCCAGGTTTGAGTTTTTTGTCATTGTTAGAAGCATTATTGTCATCTAATTCCAGATGTTTTGGTTTTGTTTTTTGAGGAATGGGGTCATTTTGGACAAAAAAGCCCTCTGTTCCAAGCAAGTTGTCATCTGTCAAATCCTCAGCATTGGCATTATCAGCTGGTTTTGATTCAACTTTTTCTTTTTCGGACTGAGGCGGTCCAGCTGACTTTCCAGAAGTCTTGGAATCCATACTGGCAGGTTGTTTAGTAGCTGGTTGGGCATTAGGTTGGGAACCTTGTTGTTGTTGTTTCTGCTGAGGTACAGGTGGGCGTTCAAAAAGAGTTGGGGGGCCAGGGAGCCTTGGGGCCTGCTCAAACCTAGGCTGCTGTCCAAATCGAGGTTGGTCAAATCTGGGGGGACCATCAAAACGCTGCCGTGATTGGTCAAATCTGGGGGGACCATCAAAGCGATGCCGTGGTTGGTCAAATCTGGGGGGGCCATCAAAGCGATGCCGTGGCTGGTCAAATCTGGGGGGACCATCAAAGCGCTGCCGTGGCTGGTCAAATCTGGGGGGACCATCAAAGCGCTGCCGTGGTTGGTCAAATCTGGGGGGACCATCAAAGCGCTGCTGTGGTTGATTGAACCTTGGGGGAGCGTCAAAGCGCTGTTGTGGTTGGTTAAATCTTGGAGGACCATCAAAACCTTGCTGTGGCTTTTCAAATCTTGGAGGACCATCAAAACTTTGCTGTGGCTGGTCAAATCTAGGGTTGCTTCCGCTGGGACCAACAGGACTAGAGAAATTGTAAAAAAAAACCCAAAAACATTATTATTAATAACATTATTAATAAGAAAGATTTCTATTAGCATCCCAGTGACAGGCTATCAATATAAAACAATATATATTAATTGTAAACACGAGGTACTTTAATAACCAACCTAAATTAAAATGCCAATTTTATGAAACATTTTCCATTTGAAATTTTCTTTTAATTTCATTAAGCTACTACAAGGAACTTTCATTTATTGTTCATTTTGGCAGTCCATGTGGACAAAGGCTGTAGTGTTTCCGAGTACCAGATACCCTTTAGGAAACCTCCCATTTTACTACAGCAGGGTCTGACAGTCTGCCCTGTGCAGTCTAGGTTCTGCTTGTCCCGTGCCCCCCTTCCCTCCAGCAGGCCTAGCGATACGGCCTGGGCCTTCAGCAGTGTGGTGTTGGTGTGGGCTGCCAGCGGGGAATGGCAAAGCAGCGAGGAAATGCTCTGCTCCTGGCTGGAGGTGGAGCCACCGCTGCTGCTGGGTTTCAAAGCTCCCCACCTCCTGCCGGAGCTTCAACTGCTGGTCGAAGGCGGCTCTGCTGGAGTCTGAGTTTAAGGAGTTTCTGGTGAACCTACGTAACCTGTAAATCGTTTTGTCTAATTCCGTGGGGTATTGTACCCAATGACAAGACATAAAGAATAAGTATAACTACTCAAAAGTTCCTTGTAGTAACTTTAAATGAAACCCTAATCACAGCCATACAAAAACACCCTACTGACCGTGGACCTCTGACGCTGTTGATGCTTGGTGGCTGAATGGTGGGGGGACCTGGGGGTCTGACTCCTATGCTAGAAGGGACCGCTCCTCTCACAGAGGGTCCAGCAGGTGATTCTGAATGTGTCCCAAAGCCAGCGGGCCGTGGACCTTGAGCGTTGGGTCCAACACCAAGTGGGGAATGCTGCATAGCCGGCTTAGCTGGCTGCTGCATTTGCATGTCTTGTCCAGGGTACTGGCCAAATTGTCCCATCATACCACTACTGAACTGGCTTGAGGCGAATGGCACCATGGCAGTGAGAGTGGCCACCCTTTCATGAAGATGGGCATTGGTGGCGTTCATCTGCTCCTGCCACTGCTTCCATTGGCGCTCATAGTCCTGCAATTGGTCTTTGTGGGGATAAGTCTTGAACTGCTCATACCACAGGACGAAAGAGTGATCCCAGTCTTGGAATAGAGGGGTGAACTGCTGCAGTTGCATTTCATAGTGCCTCAGCTGCATTTCAGCAGACATTGACTGCAAAAAAAGGACATTTGGTTTTAGTTAATTATTATACAGGTACATGCAGAACAAAGAAATCACTAAGACATGAAAACATATTGGCCTCCAAGCTGCTGCTGGGGTTATAGATCAGAGTAGTTGCAGCTAAAACTCACTCTAATGTCCCCTTTTGGTTCCACTAAACATACTATGCTTTTCACTTTTGATTTTATATACCGATCATCTTAGGAACAAAAAGTAGCTGTCAAAGCAACTACCATTTACCTACCTGAAGGTTTGCAGGTTGTGGAATCAGCTGTTGGTATTTTTCCAGGATCTGCTGAAGCTTTTCGTGTTGTTGCATGAGAGCCTGGTATTGTAAGCCCGCTCTCTGTTGCTGCACCTTTTGCCACTGCGCTGCTGCAGCCTGTAACTGCTGTAGGCGGGCAGCCTCCTCTGGGTTTTGTGGGACCTCAGGCTTTAAACATAAAGATTGGAGCAAGCCATTTCTTTAAAAACTCATTTCTTTAAAGATTATTTTTGACATAACTGGTGGCAGGTTGCACTACTGTAAATTACACTGTGCATGTAGGACAATTACAATGAATGTGCTTGAGTACTATGAATTTCACACATTAATGACCGTATATTTAGGAGACGCTCCTAAATTTTCACACTTTATATTCATGCACACAATATAAACTATGTTTGGATGCAGCAATAATCTTCTATGTCTGGTACATAGTACAACTGGATTTGGTACAGTCTTAAAGGCGGTTGAATACAGTACCTACAAAAACAAACAAATACCAAAAAAACATAAATATTACATTTAAAAAAAGTAAAAATGATTAACGTAATGTCAATTAATTCATTGCACACAAAAAAATTAAATCCTGGGATTAGGTTACTGTAAAATAGTTTTTCCCCAATCTAGGCATCCTGAATGGTTCAAAAGCACAGGAATAGATCTAGTGCTTTTGTTGACGTTCCTTCATCACTCAGTACCAGTAGAGATACATCCATGATGAATCCGATAAATCAATAAAGTTGAAAAAAAGTTGAAGTTGACAAAGATGAAAAAACTTTTCAGTTTTACATGGACATTAAAGAATAGATATAATAGAATATGTTGAGAGTAATGGATATTTTGTCACAACAGTTTGACGGAAACAATTCAGCCCTATTCCACAACTAAATAGCCGAACTAATCACACGACAATGTTGACCGGTTGTTGTTGACATTGCGTTTAAACAGTTAACAAGACTGATTCATTTTAAAATGCCAACAAAATTACAATCGCTCAACACAAGAATCACAGCCCAATGCAGAATATTTGTCACAAGCCTGCATCACAGCCTTTGTGTACACATTATTTATTTATTTAAAAGGGAACATGTACAGTTTAAACATGAATGTCACCATTCGATGCACTGTACCAGATTGTAGCTTTTAAGCTAATTTGCATCTGCAGTCCCTTGGCAGGTCAACAAGGACAAGACAATAACACAGTAAAAGGAAAAGACATAATACAAAGATATACCATAAAGAACATACAAGACACCAAATACAACACTACACACAAATAGCACATCAAAAATTGGTGTTTGTCAATAAAATCAAGTCAGAAAAGACCACAAGAATTGAGGTCAGTGTGTGCAGTGTTGTGCAGCTTTTAAAATACTTTTTAAGTTGGATTTAAAAGTGCTAACAGAATAGCAGCTCCTCACACCTTCTGTCTTCACCCTTGTCAAAACCTGGCACCTACATTACCCACAATACAATTTGACCACCAACAGTTGGGAAATCTGGGTGTGTTACGCGAGTAGCGGCTAAGGTAGCCTCGGGCTGCTAGCCTCAAGCAGAGATGAGGAGCGGACGACACAGGTCTGGTAAACTTACAAGCAACGCTGATTCATTTGATAGAGGGGGACTAATACTTTCATTCAGGAGATCGATAACCGATATTCGGAACAGAAATACAGTTGGTTGAGTAAAATACTCCCAGACTGCACTTCTAGACCTTTTCTTTAGTGCACCCATCAAGAGAGAGAGGGGAAAAGAGAAAGAGGGAACAAGGGACGTTACCAGTGGAAACACTGTGTGTCCACACCTCTGTAACATAGTAGTGCTTACCCCTGCCTCGTCAGGTGGTGGAGGTGGTGCTGGGGGCTCCTCTTTTGGAGGGGGCGGAGGAGGTGCGCCTTTTTGTGGTTCTGATGGAAGAGGAGGAACCGCTTTGGGTGGTGGCGGCAAAGGACCGTCACCCTCATTCTTGTTCTGTTTGGCTTTCTCTTGCTTCAACTTTTGTAGGTTTTGAAGATGTTGTTTGTACCACCGTTGCTGTTGCTCCTGTGTGAAACAAGAACAAGGACATCTGTCAGACGAAGCACACGAGAAACCGTGTTCTCACTTGCACGATGCAAGTGTTTGGGGAATCTCGCTTTCCTTGTAATACCTGGCCATTTCTAGCTCAATGTGACACGATAATAGGATTACAGTTAACAATGTTATGTCAGTGGCCTGCAACAAACAGTGGCTTCACATTTATTTTAAAGTAAATCCTTGAACTGTACCTTAAACATACCAGTGATTAAATGTTCTTTTACCTGGTCATAGTTAACTTTTCTGAAAACATAACGAAAAAATACAGTCAACCAAATGGGTCAACATTTATTTCTGATTAACATTACTTAGGGTAGTTTGTTTTGTATGTATTTATGTTCTACATTGTTTTAATTCTTAAAGATAAAATTTGTAAATTACCTGAATGTTATTACTAAGTAATAATTAGTGTAATCTAAGGGTGTGCATATGTATGACATCCAAGATTTTGGACAGTTTCTTGCATTACTGTCCATCACAGCACAACAGATCAGTCTTTGATCAGCAATACCAAAACGTGTCCAAAATCCAATCAATATTTATATATAAAATGTATAACAGCTGACTATCACAGAGCACAAACGGATACAATACCTGCAAAATTGAGGAATTGTCTTCTTCTTTGGTGGATACATCTTTCGTGTTGGCCTCTTGGGCTTTGGGAGCACTTGTGTTCTCTGGTGGTTTGGATGAGGGGGGCTCTGGAGGAGGAGGAACAGATTGGGGATCGTTGGGGTGCGGTTGCGTTGGAGGGGGAGGAGGCGGTGGGTGACCCGTCTGAGGAGCAGGTGGACCTCTGGTCGGCTGAGAAGAAGTCTCGTCTTTTTGAAAGTACGACTGAGCCGCAGCACCGCTGTCTGCATGTCCTGCTCCTTCTGAATGCCATGTTGATCCCGGATATCCACCCGACTGTCCACCTCCACCGCCGCTACCTCCACCACCGTACGCATTAGTACTATTGCCGTGGTGTAACACAGACTGGAGCTGTTTCTGGTGCAGCATCTGCAGCTGCTGCATCTGCTGTCGGTGTTGCTCCTGCAGACTGGAGAACATCGAGCCGCCGGATGAGGCGTCGAAGCCGCCGAACCCCGGTGCCGGGGCGGCGTGTCCGCCACTAGGAGGCGGCCTGTGGGGCCCAGCTCCAGAGCCTCCAAAGTTTTGCGACTGGGGTGCCCCATAATTCCCCCAGGAAGGATACATTGTTTAAAAAAAAGCGAGGCTGTGTCCACGGCCTTTGTGCTTAAATACAGCCTGGCCTGAGTAGCTAGCAGCTAACAGCTAACGTTAACCTACCTTGTATTTAACATATAGCTAACGTTACATTGTCATTGCCCAACGGTGCCAGGCCGCATGAAACAAAGAGTATAAACACCAACTCTGAAGCAGGAAACGGTTATCCGTCAGATAAAGAAACGTGCACGTCTAACCCACGGGTGTCTAAAGAGAACTAGTGTTGTGAAAATAAAGCTACAAAAACGTTTCGAGACGGTGATATCGTTGAACTTGTGTTGCTGATGCTACAGCGCAATGCACTCAATGATGACGGAAATACGTCACTAGTCATAAGGCGACCAGTTCCGGTTGTGGTGAAAATGTTTTATTCACAAATACAGTTTTTCTAGGATATATATATATATATATATATATATATAACAATAAATATATATATATATATATATATATATATAATATATAAATAATAACAATTATATTAATAATAGCAACAATAAATATTAGTGTTGTTATTGTTTGTATATTGTCATTGTTATCATTTTTGTTATTATACACACATACACAAACTGTATGTCAAAATATGTAAAGAGGTAATTAGCGTACTCTGGATACTTTTAAGGCTAGGTTTTAAGGCGGCCACTGCAAATATATGATTTTGAGCAGCTGACCGTGGATCTGAGCTTTCACCACAAGAGGGAGACATGCACAAAGATATTTCTACTCAACTAGGAACCTTTGTCTGTAAAAAAAAAAAATAAATAAATAAAACTTAGTATAGGTCTTTGCCTCATATCCACAAAAGTGATAATATAAATGATATAATTGATCCATTCCAACTAATTTTCAGCTCTAAAAAGATCTCATGTTCATGCAAATTTATCAGGCGCCTGATTGAAATAACACAACATGATTTACATAAACAACAAAATTACATACAACTACTCTGCTTACAATATATTCTACATGAAACAATAAATGAAATGTAGCCTGACATATTTTTTACGGATTAGGCCTGCAGCATGCATGTCAATACGATCTACAGCAGTTTGTTGTCACAGACCAACTGTGTGAGTTCAGACTGTGTTTAGCAACAGAGAGAGTGGGGTGGGAGTGAGAGCAGTGGGGGGTAAAAGACCAGTGACTTTAGGCTGCCCTTGAGGTCTGATACACATAAGAGTATTTTTTTCTTAAGATCACCAGTAAATCTGTATTAATTTTGACCAGAACCACTTAAAAAGAATCGTTAAAGCGGATTAATCAAGCCCGTCCTGTTTAATGTCTCCCGTTAATTAGTTTGTCAGCAGTGTTTTAATATCGCCTAATGACTTCATATTTCACTGATGACATTAAAGGGGTGTTAAAAGAGGGGAAATGGCCCATTCAGGATTCAGTTCTTTCGCTTAAGACGCCCTCGATGAATAAGACAAGGTCACGGAGGCCTAGCCTTTAGGGAGAGACACATTATCAGGGGATGGGGCTGGGAGAAATCCCATAGAGGAAGCTCTCTCCCCTCTAAAACAGCATGACGGGCACAATGTGATACAGTTCTGCCTTAGAACAATACACTGCACAGGGAATTCATGATACAGCTTAGGACAGCCACGCTTTATAGGATGGCAGGATAGCCCACTGTGGGCTACAATAACATGATACTGGGGACTAATGCCTCGTGCTTTTTGGAAGGAAGGCAACTGATTGTTGTACTGGTCATTTGTGTGTTGTATTAATAACAAAACCTTTTTAAGCGTTTCTTGAATGCTTTAGAACTTGGCCCTTTTTCAATCTACATCAGCACTTTCTGAGGCTTTCGAAGCAAGAACAAAGAAATCAGAAATCGTAAAGTTGTAGCTCACAGTATTGAGGACACTGCATTTTCTCTGTGATGAAAATCCTATGTTAAACAAAATGCTCAATGGAAGCTAATGGATCCCAAACAAGTCCATGCACTGCTTCCAAAATGCTTTGTTTGACAAATCAATTTTCCCATAACCCGGTGAGGAGAAAAGTGATGCGGATTGATCGCCCCCCCTGACTTTGTTTCCAGAATATTGTTTGATGGCTGGATAGATTAATTGGTATGACATTTGAAAGCCTTCTCTTGACTGTCAGCATCCAAGCCTCTATACGCCAATCGAACCCCAGTCTAATTGTCTCCTCTATAATACCCCACTTCACAAATTAAGAACAGTGCCTCTATAAACTATTCCCAATGTAAGACCCAAACAACATCACACTGCTCAATCAGACACTGGTTTGAATAGGGGTGACGCTCGGCTGATAAGATAGAGCGTATTAAAGGGCATCACCCCAAACTGCTGCGCCAGCACATCTTCCTCGCAGCACAGTAGATCTGAAATATACAAATCACATCTAAGCAGCCGCTCCAAGTAAATCCAAGACTCGTTAGCTGTTCATACTATTTGAATCTTAGTTATGAGGCTAATATGAATTAGAACAACTACAGTGAGGAACACAAAGAGAAAATCATTTTAATCCATGACCTTGGAAAAGCTGCTCATGTATGTTGTGTCAGACATGTAGTTCTCAGATTCTGCATTTAAATGTGTGTTTTTCGACATAATGCAACATTGTGGCTGAGAACATAACCAACATACCTCTTTATAATGGACAAGTCACTATAAAAACAAGCTTAAATAACAAAGTGATGATGATGGCTGATTTCACTCTCCTGGTCTTGTGCATGCTGTCACACTGTCACAGCTTACTGGGATGGTTGAAAGGAGTGGAGTTATTGTTATTGTTATAAGAAACAGCTTTTCTACAGTGAAATGTCAAAATGGCCGATTACATCGAACGTAGGATTGGGCTTTATGACAATATGAATTTGTGCAGCTGAGATTTTTCCGTAGTGTTGTGTCTATTCTTTTCTCTGGTTGCATTTGAACATTGTGGGAAATTTAGCAATGAGCACAAATGCTTTACGTGATTCTTTACAGGAATATTTAAAGGATTTTTGCATAAATTTGATAAGTATCTTTATTTTTTTAGGTATTAAATATAGTGGATTAGACAGAAACAGACATTCCTGTCTTGTTATTTTACCTATAAACTGTTTTTTATAGAAAGAAATATATAAAGTTACATATGATATCACAATATAAAATGACAATATGTCCAAGATGATCTGGGATGGCCATTAGTACTACAAAACAACACAGTATAATACACTGCATGCAGCACATAGTACATTGACAGCATTTCTCCACTCCTATCAAAGACAAATAAACCTTCAAATCCAGATTAACAACACTGTTTACATTTTTTCTTACAGTTTAATGTATATTGTGCAGCCTGTGGTTTTTAGGGAAAAGTTAGTGTCTAACACTAATGGTGACTCAGCAAATAAGGGAAGAAAATGTGAAAACCTAATCTTATGAAAGTTGCTCAGTTGTTATCTATTGTAAATAGAGTTTTGGGGTAAAATAAGATGGACACAGTCTAGTCCTAAATACTAAAACAGTCAATAATCTGTGGTCCATATAGTCTCGCTGTTTTTCTACTTGGGACCAAATTTAACTGAATCAAAGACTGCAGTTATCTGCCCGCCACAATTCATCACCACGTATTTATCATTCACAATGACTAATTGCCTGACTTCCCTTCAATTTTGTGGGCTGGGTTCCTCACAGAGCAAGCTGCTCAGCGGCCCACCTCCCTTCACTCGCCGCTCCTCCCTATCACCCCAACACACCCACTTGCCTTTGAAAAACTGTAATTGAATGAGTTTATGTCGTCAAATTGATTAATCATATTAATTTGTACTTATTAGTGGGATGGTTGAAAGCGATGACAATTAGATTAATGAAATTAGTTAATTCTTCCTATACACACACACACCATGATACTCCCAACTATAACATACCAGGAGAAAAAAAGCATAGAAAGGGAGACTGTTATGACAAAATTGGCAATCAAGATTTGGCTGCTAATTGAATGTCTGCTTTTATTAATGATGAGGTTTATAAAAAAGACCTTGAGAAAGGAATATTAATTGATTAATCAAAGTGCTTCAAATTAAGGGGGAGTATACAAAGCAGAGGTCTGAAAATTTCTCTCACATTTCATTCTGAAGAATGCTGCGGTGTCTTTCACAGCATGCAAACATACCTGAGTGATAAACCGTTTCCTGACATCTGACCATATAGCTGTTGTTGAAATTTCCCCGTTGACTGAAATATTTGTGAAATATGCTGTAGAGGCTTGCTGTTGATATAATTCATATACTTGTCTTTCAGTAAATTGTGATTCAAACTAATGTATTTGCCACATATTACTATATTTTGACATTGGTGCAATAATATCGTCCTCACATCACTGTGAAGAAAAGATTGAGAATGTATTTGTCAGTACAACATGTTGACATGATGAAGAGGCTCCACTGTAACAAAACAGAAAGCTGGAAGTTGCCTGACCACAGATCAGTTCTGCAGGGAGCCAGATGTCCCAGTGGGACCGCAGCCATACATTCATCATGCCCGTTTGCCTGTTGTGGAAAAACGAAATCCACATAAATATATGTAGATATAAGTAAACAGAGCCCGAGATCCCTCAAGCCGATAGACTGCTTTGAATTTCATTACGCAACAAGCTGTCCGGCAGTTATAAACGATGCTCATGAGAAAGAAGTGATTGTTAGATATGATACAGATGAAATGTAATAGTTTATGCCACCATGAATCTGATTGTAACATCCACACTATTCAAGAGGCAGATAAGAGCATTTATGACTATTTGCTCTGTGTCGTAAAGGGAAGTGGGCTGTTTAATATGAGCAGCTGGCTGGCTCCAGGTTCAACAGATTGTGTTGTTGCATATAACTTACAGGCAGTAATGGGCTGGTTTATATACTAAAATGTGAGCTGTCACACATGTGAGATAAGCAGAATTATGACTAGCACACTCTGCATTTACAAAGTATAAGGTTTGATATGCACGTGTAAATGTAGGTGAGTAATGTTTTTGTTTTCACTTAAGAAATATTCACTTCGATGGCGAGATGATATCTGCTCATGTGGTGGATACAAAAGTGTAAGATAGGTTGGTTTCCACGTTCAAAAAACATATAAATCTTGCTCATAGTTATGCTGCAGGAATGGATTACACCGACTTAACCCAGTCAATCAACGTATTGGGTCAGCGTTCCTTTTACACAATTATATTATAGTCAGCCTATTCCTTCATATGAAGGGAATTCTTATCAGTGAAACAAAAGGGGAACTCCATCAATTTTACACATCAACTGCTTAGAATTTGTTGATTTTAACAAAATGATGCCACTTGAGTCAGC